GGAGCCGCCCTTCGTGCATGCGCAGTCCGGCAGACTACGGCTAGAAAAGATCTCCGATCTGCGACGCCGGGATAAGCCCGACACCTACAGTGGAGCACCCACGGGACACTGCTCGAAGAAGAATAGCAGTACTTTGTGTATCCGGTTTGCAGACTAAGCAAGAGAGCAACAACCTTCAAATCGCCACAAAGCTGCCACTGATGTTGGTCATAGTTTATGCACCTCAAAAATTGTTTCATGTTGTCATAGGTTTTCTTCATATGGACTGCGTGACCAACTGGAATTGATGGCAAAACATTGCCATTATGCAGCAAAACCGCTTTAAGACTCGTCTTCGATGAATCAATGAACAGTCTCCACTCATCTGGATCGTGAATGATGTTGAGGGCTGCCATCACACCATCGATGTTGTTGCAGGCTACAAGATCACCTTCCATTAAGAAGAATGGGACAAGATCCTTTTGACAGTCACGGAACATGGAAACCCTAACATCACCTGCCAGGAGATTCCACTGCTGTAGTCTGGAGCCCAACAGCTCTGAGTTACTCTTGGGTAGTTCCAAATCCCTGACTAGGTCATTCAGTTCACCTTGTATTATGAGGTGTGGATCAGAGGAGGAGGATGGGAGAAAATGTGGGTCCTGTGACATTGATGGTTCAGGACCAGAAGTTTAATCCTCTTCCTCTTCCTCCTCTGACTCAAGTGAGAATGATACTGGTGCATCAGGAACCGGCAGTCCTTCTCCGAAGGGTACTGGGCGTATAGCTGATGGAATGTTTGGATAATGCACAGTCCACTTTTTCTTCTTTGACACACCTTTCCCAACTGGAGGCACCATGAAGAAGTAACAATTGCTGGTATGATCTGTTGGCTCTCTCCAAATCATTGGCACTGCAAAAGGTATAGATTTCCTTTTCCTGTTCAACCACTGGCGAAGATTTGTTGCACAAGTGTTGCAGCATATGTGTGGGGCCCACCTCTTGTCCTGATCTCCAATTTTGCAGCCAAAATAAAGGTGATAGGCTTTCTTAACCATAGTGGTTATACTGCGCTTTTGTGATGCAAAAGTCACTTCACCACAAACATAGCAGAAGTTATCTGCACTGTTCACACAAGTACGAGGCATCTCTGCTTACTTTGGCTAAACAGAAATGTGTCCCTTTGCAAAATCAAACACTGACAAATAAGAGAGCATGACATTGTATGATTTCTAGAGCTGATATAGGGCAATTTGTTCAGCAGAGTGATGTAAGCTTCATAATGATTGCATCATCCATGACTTCTAGGAATAACATGATGCAATTCATATCATGTATGATGCAATACCAGTTTCAGATTGCATGATTCATTGTTTTGCCTAAAAAGCAAGTACTGTCCAAACTCAGTCATAGATTTATTCATAGATCCAGTCAAAGATGTATTTTAGTCATTTCTGGTTTAAATTGAGATCCCTTCCCTTTATAACTCACTTATCCTCCGCCATTTGCAAGTCAAGGGTCTTATATGCTGACCCAATAGCATATCTTGAAAACTAGAGCCAATCAACAATTTTAAGCATCATTTTCGTTCTTAGTGACCCAGAATTAGTAAAGTTTGACTACATTTATTTCAGAAGCATTTTGGCTGTAGAGCAGTACTTCATTGATACTTTAGTAAATAAAAAATTCCTTATGTCTTTAAAAACTTTAAAAGCCCTAAAAAAACAACTAAAAAGACCTTATCCTTCCCCTTCAGTTACACTGAGCACTTTTTAAACTTAACATATACCATTAACATGGCAGGGGGAGGAGGGGAGCGGGAGGAGGAGTAGCTGAATTGGCAGAAGACTATATATAGCAAAAAGTTCATCTGAACTGTTTTAAAAGAAGCATTTCTGTGCATTTTCCAAACTTTCACAGGAAACAGGAAAGAAAAAGCATCACATGGGCCCTTTGAGCTGCAATAATAAAAATTAAGAAACATAAGAACGGCCATACTGGCCATACTGGGTCAAACCAAAGGTCCATCTAACCCAGTATTCTGTCTGCCGACAGTGGCCAGCACCAGGTGCCCCAGAGAGGGTGGACCGAAGACAGTGATCAAGCGATTTGTCTCCTGCCATCCCTCTCCAGCCTCTGACAAACAGAGGCCAGGGACACCATTTTATCCCCTGGCTAATAGCCTTTTATAGACCTAATCTCCATGAAATTATCTAGCTTCTCTTTAAACTCTGTTATAGTCCTAGCCTCCACAGCTTGTGAACAGGTGGAAACTGTTGGCTTCTCATTAAAGTTTGAATTCTAGAAGCCTCTGCTGATTGGCTAAGCCTTGGTAGGGGGAGGGGTTTCAGGCACTCCAGGGCTTTATAAGGCAGTGGGCAAGCAACCAAGGAGCTTGCGAACAGGACAGCAGCGATGGATGGTGATGGGTATGCTGCTGTCACCTGCACAGCGTGTGCCATGTTTGCCTTTCTCCTGGAAGAAAGAACAGATTTCATCTGCACGAAGTGCAAGCTGGTCGACATTATGGAAGAAAAAATTAGAGGACTGGAGGTCCAACTGTTGACCCTATGTTCGATCAGAGAGGATGAAGACTTCCTCGATAGAAGGCAGTGTTTAATCCTTCAAGCACGGCAGGCAGAGGAGCCAGTGAGGGCAGTACGTGACCAAGAAGAGAACCGGCAGCATGTAACTTCTAGAAGGGGACAGGGGTTGGAGCCCTGCCATTCTGTTCTGGGTTTGGCTGCCCTGCACGTGGTGCCTTTGGGAGCCGTGGGCAGTGGCAGCCAATGCAGCCTTTCCCAAACCCAGGACTCCAAGCCCAAGCCCAGGACATCGTGTGCATTAGTCTCCCTGCTCCCCCTCCCCTGACTGGCCTCTGCTCTGTCCCTAGCTCCTGGACACCTGGGAGGCCTTTGTGTACCAGCAGCAGGAGGCCTCGGACTTCCTTGTCTCCCGGCACATGAGTATCGTTGCTGAACTTGTAGGCTCCCTGCAGAGAGCCAGCCAGGAGCTGCAAGAGCTGCTGACCACGGCCACTACAGGGCGTTTCCTGGACCCTTCCCAGAGCCCGCGGGCAATGGAGCAAGAGCTGCACGAGCTGCACCACCGCTACCAGGCCATGGCCAGCCGGGTGGCTGAGCTGTGCCGCTCCCAGAAGATCCTCACAGGCATGCGAATGATGGGCCCCCTGCTTGTACCTGCTAGGGCCCCCTACTGCCCAGAGCCAACACCTGGCTGTCCCCAGGGTGACCCCTCCCCACCTGTCTTCAGCCCAGAGAGGGTATCCCACCTCCCTGTGCCCCAAAAGCCAAAGAGCGCTCCTCCCAGCATCTGCCAACCAGCTGGGGAGAGACAGCAATCCCTGTGCTGCTCCCTGTCTGGGCTGGGGGAAAGACCCCTCCCCATAAACGCTCTCTTGTTCTTCCCAGGGGAGGGCACAGATGTGTCCTTCGTGGCCAGCGGCCGGGCGCTCATTGAAGCCCATGAGCAAGTCTGGAGGCTGCTCCGCACCATCTCTGAGCAGATCACTGAATGGAAATGCCTCGCTTTCAGCAAGGTAATGGCTGACTGGCACCTGCCCCCAGCTGTTCCAGCCCTGGGCTCCCTGCCTACCAACCCACAGCCCCTGCCAGCCTAGCCCTGGGCTCCCTGCCTCCCGACCTGCAGCCCCTCCGAGCCTCGCCATGGGGCTCCCTGCCTCCCGATCTGCAGGCCCTCCCAAACCAGCCCTGGGCTTCCTGCCTCCTGACAATTAGGATAACAGAGACTTGATGGGATGACTCGCATGACTGGAGTGCTGTCATGGAAGGGCATAGACTGTTCAGGAAGAACAGGTAGCAGAGAGCACAGATTGCTCAGAACTCCAGTATATAGAGGGAGAAAAACCTGTTGAGAGTCTATGGGTTAAGTTTAGAGGTACAAACAACAGCAGTGATTATGTGGTTGGTGTCTACTACAGGCCACCGAATCAGGTGGATGAAGTAGATGAGGCTTTCTTTGGACAACTGAGAGAAGTTTCCAGATCGCAGTCTCTGGTTCTCGTGGGGGACTTTACTCACCCTGACATGTGTTGGGAGACCAATACGGCAGTACACAGACAATGCGCGTTTTTTTGGAGAATGTTGGGGATAAC